AAACCGGGTCGGTCTGGCCACGCCTGCCGACCGCACTCGAAGTTTAGCACAACCACACATGGCCGGAGCATCACAATATCGGGTGAAGGTTGGACTGTGGGCATCGACAAGAAGGAGACCTGATATCCCCTAAACGCTTCCGCATCTGCAAGCTGTGACGATCGCCTTGTCCATGACCTCTCTGTTTTGGATTCCGATGATGATGGAGAGGGAGCGCCCGATACCAAAAAAAGAAGGACTGGATAGATTTGTGAGATACCTGATTGAGTTCATGGGCAGCTCGCAGCCTGGCAGATGAGATGTGGGACATTTTGGGTGGTCCCTCTTTCTCCAGCGATCAGCACATTGCAATTGTGGGGACCTGTCTTGTCTGTACCGAGGAGAAAGGTACTGAGCAAGATGCGGGTTCCAGTTGTTGATGCTGCCGCTGAAAATTGAAGGCTGCAAGACAGGCGAGCATGGTCTAGAGTCTAGATTTTTGGCGCTGGCAGCACCTGCGTTGCTGGTGATAATGCTGGTTTTGCTGCTGCTGCTGCTGATGCTGCTGCATTGCTACTACTAGTTCTGCGGCTGTTTCTACGGGCTGGTTTTGCCATGTTTTGCCTTCCTTCTCCAGACTCTCCAGCTGCTTGCGCTGCCACTGTCACGACTTGTCCAGTTACCCCTACTTCTCATTCCGAGTAGCGGTACGGTTTTGCGATACCCAACAAGGATTCCCGATCCTTTGGGCACTGAGCCTTCTGCTTCCTGATAACTATGTGCATACGCAGACGCACACCAAACGGAAAGGTCGCTTGAACTATGCCGCCTGTATTGACTCGTGACCTCTTTGCTGAAAAGCTACCTTTGGCTTGCTGAGGCAGTCAAGGGAACTCGCAACCGTAAGCATCAGACTTCTGACCGGAGCAGTGCCATCCGGAAGCACTCCTTACCCCTCACTGAGACAACTCTAGAACACTTGCTTGCGAGAAGGGCAAGATTTTCTCTCAACAAGAATTGGTGTGGCTTCCCAGAACAGGGCATGCGGAGCGTAAAGGCGAATCCATGATTGCTGTGAGCTGGCTCAGGATTTCGGGGGGCGCTTGGCCAGTATGCTTTGGGACGTTCAGGCGGGCTTACTGTGCTGCCTGTTCTTAGGGCCAATCCAGGAGTGTGCTGGAACAGCATTCACGACGAAGGCGTGAAAGGCATTGCATATTGGGATGGCGCAGACTTTTGAGTGTTGAAGTTTATGTTCGGCCTGGTATAGCAGATCCTTGTCCGTCTGGTGTGAGCGAGAAGTTGGGATGCGAGCCAGCTGAGATCATGATCAGAACTCTTTGCGTGTTTTGAGGTTCAACATTCTTTCGCAGTGGAGTACATCCACCTCTTCTTTGGGGTAGGCCTGGCGAGATGCCTCCTTCCGGACCTGCCGTGCGTGATGCAGGTTTGCTACTTCTGGACACGGTGCTGGTATACCATCTTTGGTTTTTTTGAGTGCCTTTGGAGATTACGCATGTAAGAACACACACGTAAGTGCGCCGTGCAGGCCACGTACCGCTGGAGAGGCGGACTCGTCGCGTCGTGACGCCCGAGATGCGCCCCTGCTTCTCTTTTTGCGAAACTCAAAGATTCTGCCGTGTCTTTGCGCGAATGGCGCTTGTGCTTTGAGGGCTTGCCAGGCCTGTACACGGCGCCTTGATGACAAGATTGGCTGTCACATTTTAAAGTGGGAGTCGAGTTTGATGAAGCTGGTGGAGGAATGACTGCATGCTGGTGCTAGCATTGCATTCTCAAAGCATCGCTTGTGCCTGTCGCTACATGCCCTCAAGCAATCCCAACTTGCAGAGGTACTCTCTCTTGCGCTGTAGCCGTTCGATGCGGCGTAGCCTAATCGCAGCGGTGGAGGCTTTACAGCCGGCTTTCGGTTGCGAATACAGTTCCCCATTCGGTGGACCCCCCACCCAGTAATGGTGACTATACGTTACAATGGGGATTACATGTGGGTCCTCCTATAGCCCTATCATACAACTATCGCAAGGTGGGGGTCCACCTGAGGCCCTCAGTTTTGGGGTTGAGGGTTTGGGAGGTTTTTACACCCAATAATGGAGAATCAAATTGAAAAGGAAGTTTAGAATAAAATGGAAACTAAGATTATACAGGAACATGTGAGGTTAATGTGGATGTAGGAACAATGGAGGAGCTCATGAAAAAGAAACGTGGAAAATTAGATGAAAAGAGTGGTATGTGGAGATTAGTGTTCTTCCAGGGATCAGAGATGGCTCTAGGTACGCTCAAGAGTCATTAGCTAACAGCAGACGAGTCAGGGTGTTTGTGGGGAGGTCGTATTCAAGAGCGGTGTATGGGTTGGTGACTTCGGACCTTCTGTTGCTTGAATACATAGTAAGGGATGTACAGGCCATATTGTTTCGGAGGTTTGTGGATGTTTTTGTTGCAGAATGCACGTCAAGCAACACAGCACCGTAACCAAAATCAGATGCAAGCTACTCATAGCCGGTGGGCTGTTACCTGCCCCGTTTGAAGGCACGGCGATTGACCCTGGAGCCTGATGCCAGTGACGACGAGACGAGTTTGGTGGAGCCATGGCAGTTTTGTCCACGAAATGTTTCAGCTTTTGAGAAGCAGCGCTAGTATCATGAAGGCCCCTTCTTGGGCTGACTTTTATTGAAAGAGTTTCGGTAGCAGGGGTCATGCCGAATTCGTGCATTGAATAGTCACAGCCGGCACACTGCTGGCAGACCTGCAGCCAAGGATGAGCTTTGCAATGCGCTGAGGCCGGAGGGCTCACTCCATGGCACAGAAGGCTTTTGAGTAACCAATCTCTGTCACTATGCCATACTTTTTCCACACGTGAACTGATTCCTTTTGGGGGGGTGGTGCGGCTGTGCAAAAAAATACTTGGTCAACTATAACTTGAGTCCGTTGTTCTGAACTGCCAACGATGCAGATCATACAGGCATTTCTCATGTAGCATCGTTGAGGCTACGCGACATTGTTTTGTGTTTGCTTGTCGGGGGTCTTTCTCTTCTTGCCCAACGAATGCCCGCATCTCCTGCGAGCGCGGCAAACTTGAATTGTTTCAGGAGAGGCGCATGTCACGTAGTGAGCTCCCACGCTGTCAACTGAACAGCAAGCAGATGGGGCCTGTTTGCCTCAACGCCATAGACCAGGCATCCCCCGAAATCAACACAGTTTTTGGTGGTTATGTGTACGTGCCACCTGCTCAAGACCCCATCCCAAATAGAGATAGAGAGAGAGAGAGAGTGTCCGGGTAAGCTGCGTGTGTTCTCAACATTCTCAATGTTTCCCTACCATGAGGTACAAGTACCCAGCCAGCTGGGCTTCCGTGGCCGGCCGGCAGCCGCCACCCACAGACAAGCCTGCGCCAGCAGCCCAGGAAAGGATCTTTTCTGGGTAGCGGGGTTGGGATCGCAAGGATGGGGCCTCCGTGATGCACATACACCTATAGACGCGGATATCTAGACATTTTTGCGTTCTGTGCTTGCCTCATTCATTTCGTGGAAGCGCATGCCCTTGCAAAGGCTATCCTATCAAGCCCTCTAGCTAGGAATTTCACTCCTGACATCTCCTGACGCTGTTCACCATTGGTTTTGGCTCAAGCCATGTATATTTGTACACAGGCTTCAGTCAGCATGCTTACTGCTGCATTTACGCTAAGACTGTTCGCTGAGGCCAATCGCGCTGTGAGTGCCTTGCACCACAGGGCACGGCCTGCACCGCACCAGAATTTACAGATCCCTTGCATCTCTGGTCCAGAGCTTTCACAAGGGTCCTTGGTTGGTGGTGAATCTGAAAATCCAAGTCCGCATGTTGTTTCTGTACCACCTGATATCTCGCAAAAGGTATCCATGATAAGTTGAAGCTGGAACTGGACCCTACGGGCTGCAAGAATCTGAGCCGCCTACCCGTAAGTTTCTGATTTCCTGTGGTGGACACATGCTGCCAAGCTTGAAGCCAGGGCTCAGGGCTGAAGAGATGGCAACTAATAAAACTGCAGAGCTTCCGGGTGAGAGTGGCGAACCTCATCTTCCGAACTTGTCCGTAGCTGCGGCTGGATCATGCTGAAGGCTGGAGCAATTCATGCAACAGAAGGGGTTGGCAGGTTCCGCTTGCGCCATTCACAGGATGGCATTGTGTATGTCACGCATGGGCGCACATAGTGCTGACTGAAGTGACTGAGGTGCATGCAAGACATGACTGCTGCAGTTCCATCGCCAGGCCATAGTATTGCCAGTGCTGCTGAGTCGTTGGTTGGACAAGAGCAGCGGATTGCGTTGATGACCCCTTGCCCTGAAAAGCAGCTGACGCCCAAGGCCCTGCAAAAGCAGGGTGCGAGCTTCCTACTTCCTCTGGATGTGGGGTGGGGGAGAGAACACGCAGCGTTTGGGTAATTCGTTCCATGACAGGATCTCATTCCCCCACTACCGCTTCAGAACCAGTAGGGATTGGGATCTTCCGTCCTACAGCTTCCTGCAGCATGGTGCGAATGCGGGCCAGGTCAGCTTGGAGAGCAGAAGGAAGATGTATAGTAATCAGAATAGATAGTGACAATAGTAGCAGAAGTAGTAGTAGTAAGCATAATCATCGCAACAATAGTTACTACTTGTAGTAGTAGCAGCAGCAGTAGTAGCAGCAGGAGTAGTAGTAGTAGTAGTAGTAGATGATAGTAGTCGTAGTAGTAGTAGTAGTAGGAGCAGCAGCAGCAGCAGCAGCAGTAGCAGTAGCAGTAGCACTAGCACTAGCACTAGCACTGCCAGCAGCAGCAGCAGCAGCAGCAGGAGCATTAGCAGTAGCAGTAGCAGTAGCAGCAGGATTCGTCGTCGTCGTCGTCGTCGTTGTTGTTATTGGAATCGTAATAATTGTATTAGTAGCAAGAACAGTAATATCATTCGAAATGGGAGGCTTGCTGCTGTAAGGTGTAGGCTTGATGCTCGTGATCGTGACACAGCTGGTTTCCTTGAAGTGGGCCGGCGGTACTCCAGGAGTCGCCAACAGCAACCCCTTGACAGGGGTAGGTTTGAAAATACAGTGTACTTTTTCATAACCTGATTTTCTATGGAATCCTTCTGAGGCCATAAAATTTTCATTTTTATAGGGCCTCC